CGCGCGCCGGGCTTTTCGGCCGAGATGCGCCTGGGACTCGCTTCGCGGAGTCCTCCCTACTGCGCGGAGCAGCGATCCGCCGGGGAGCTCCTTGGCCCGTGTGCCGCGACCCCCGGACCAGAGCTTGGTGGCCAGGCCTCCCGGGAGAGCTCTGCAGCCCCAGGGGCAGCGGTCCAGGGCTTCCAGACGCCATGACCGTCTATGCCTGTTCCTCAGAGGACACACAACCCCAGTACGCCCTGCCATGAGAAGCAGTGAAACTGTGGAAACTGGACAGTAGTGGCTAGGTTAATTAAAAACACACCCTCAGTCGCTCCATTCCTCGTCTCTGTCGTCTGTCTGTCTCTGTCTTTCACACATACACACAAACCAACAGCAAAACTAAAAAATTAGATTTGGGCAGGGTCAGCAGGTAAAGGTACCTGCGGCTAAGTCTGATCTGAGTTCGATCTCTGGGATTCAATGGCGGAAGAAAGAACTTCTGAAGGCTGTCCTCTGACCAACATGTGTGCTGTGTAGCATGGATACAGGCATACCTACACAAAACAGATAAAATATGATTTTAAAAATTGGATTTGACAAAACCAATTAGAATCCTGTGCATACTTGGGAGACTGAGGCAGGAGGATTGCTAGTTTGAGGTGAGCCTGGCCTATCTAGTGAGATCCTGTCTCTAAATAAATAAAAACCATTCCCTTTGGTTCTGTACTGTAAGAAAACCCCACAGAATAGATAAGAATCTTGTTCTTTACAAGTAAAGATAATGTTCATTACTGTACTCCCGGTGCCTGGCACACAGATTTTAAACTTATAAAAAGACTACTATTTTTATTATTTACATGTATGTGAGTGTATGTCCACATATGTGTTCACGTAAGCACAGAGGCCAAGAGAGGGCCCCAGATCCCTGAGTTATAGGTGGTTCAGCCATTGGACATGGAAACCAAACTTAGATCCTCTACAAGAGTAGTACCCTCTCCTAACCACTGAGCCATCCCTCCAGCCCCAAAACTTACTTTTAAAGATTTTTTTTTTTTTTTGGAGCTGAGGACCGAACCCAGGGCCTTATGCTTGCTAGGCAAGCGCTCTACCACTGAGCTAAATCCCCAACCCCAGAGATGTATTTTTATTTATGTGTGAGTATGTACTCATGTGCCTGGGTGCCCAGGCACCCGGAGACCAGAAGAGGATGTTGGATTCCCTGAAGCTGGAGTTAGGAGTGGTTGTGAGCTGCCAGACATAGGTGCTGGGAATAAAACTCTGGTCCTCTGGAAGAGCAGCAAGTGCTCTTACTCTCTGAGCCATCTCTCCAGACCCTAAACTGTTTTTTTCTTGTTTGTTTTTAATGTACCAATAGTTTTACAAAGGAGAATCTTAGAATTAGGCTAGTTAATTTGAGTAAGGTTGCTGTAAGGTGTTTTATGACACAAAGATTTCTGAATCCAATACTGTCTCAGAATCACAGACTGGTCATGCAGAAGAGGCCCACAGAGACTACCCAGTCCACCCCTCCCCCCATCTTGCAGGACTGTGAGCCAGAAACTTCATAAACACAGCTCCTAGGCTTCAGTAGGTAATCACATTGTTTTGTTTTGTTTTTTCTCCCCAAGAAGCTGGGAGGAGATGCTTGCATGCATTACAGATCAAGAGACAAAATGGAACAGTAATGATTCTCTGATTGTTCATAATTAGATCCATGGCCAGGCACTCTAATTCAGATTAATGAGCCTGAGCTGCTGATTCCCCAAAGTCCCTAAGTCACTGAAGGTTTAAGAGGTGCTAATTAGATCAGTGACTTCTTATCCATTTGACAGACTATCAAATGGTACTATGAGCAAAGCTCTAAGCTATGCGCTGTGGTTAATGAAAGATTATTATGTAGTGTGGAGCTTCCTGGAGTCAGATTGGCTGAGTCAAAATCTTATCTATGAGTGCCAGGTATGGTGCCAAATTCCTGTAAACCCAGCACTTGGGAGATGGCATGAGGATCGCAAGTTCAAGGCCAGCTGGTGCCACATAAGAAGCTCCTATTCCAAAAATAATTGCAGCAACAACAAAATCTCATTTTTGCCATATGTTGCTGGGTGACAAATTATGTACTGGTCTCTCCTGGTGGTTTTGGTGTTTTTTGGGGGGGTGTTGTTTGTTTTGAGTCAAGGTCTCACTATGTACTCCTGGCTAACCTGGAACTAGCTATGTAGACCAGCTGGCCTCAAACATGGAGATCTGCCTACCTCTGTGCTCTATCCCCAGTGCTGGCATTAAAGGTGTGTGCCACCATGACCGGTCTCTCCTGAAGTTTTTAATCTGTTAAAGATGCACATAAATAAATCACATTAAAATATTTTATTTACTATTTTTCATATATGAGTGCATTGCCTACATGTATGTAAGTGCACCCATGCCTTGCAATGCCCTCTGTGCTGGATAGCTTTAGTGTCAACTTGACACACCTGGGTTGAGGGACCCTCAGTTGGGGAATTGCCTCCATTGGACTGGCCTGTGGCCATGTTTGTGGGGCATTTTCTTGATTGTTGAGTGATGTGGGAGGGCCCAGCCCACTGTGGATAGTGCCATCCCTGGGCAGGTGGGCCTGTGTTGGATAAGAGAGCAAGCTGAGCAGGGGCCAGGGGAGCAAGCCAGTAAGCAGCGTTCCTCCATGGCCTGTGCTCCAGCTCCGGCTTCCAGGTTCCTGCCCTGAGTTCCTACCTTGGGCTCCCTGATGAACTGCGACCTGGGAGATGTAAGCTGAATAAACCCTTTCCTCCCCAAGTTGGTAGTGGTCAGAGTGTTTTGTCACCTCAATGGAGAAACAAAGACACCGCAGAGGTCAGAAGAGAGTGTTGGATCCCCTGGAACTGGAATTACAGATGACTGTTAGCTGCCATGTGGGTGCTGGGAACCAAATCTGGGTGGTCTGCAAGAGCAGCCAGTGCTCTTAACTATTGAGCCATCTCTCCAGCCCCCATAAATCCAATTTTTAAACTTTATTTTTATTTTATGTGTATAAGTGTTTTGCCTGCATGTATGTAAGTGTACGACATGTGTGCCTGGTGCTTGTGGAAGTCAGAAGAAGGCATTAGATCCCCTGGAACTGGAGTTACAGATAGGTGTAAGCTGCCATGAAGATGCTGGGAATTGAACCCAGGCTCTCTGCAAGAGTAGTAAGTGCTTTCAACCACTGAGCCATTGCTCCAGCCCCTACATAAATCAATGGAATGCTAGATAGATGAATGTGTGGGAGCTCGGGGGTGGGCAAGGTCACTTTCTAGAGAATTGAGGAGGGTGGCATTTGAGCCCTTGAAAAATAAGGCTACAGAAGGTGGAGATGGAGGAAGGACCAGCTGGCATATGCCAAAGTTCAGAGGCAGAAGTCTATCTTGTGTAGCTGCAGAGAAAGGATTCAGGGGAGGACCAGGCTGGCCCTGAGGAGTCAGGCCAGACTGATGCAGGCCTTAGATGCAGGCAGTTTGGATGCTCCTCTGTCAGCAGGGAAAGCCTTTGAGGGACTTTCGCCACATCATTTTGCAACTGTAGGAGAATATAGTGACTCTGAGAAAGCACTACGGAGTTCAGCTTGAAGCCTGGTTTCCCCAAGGCATGGGAAAGAATGGTGAGTTGGGAGGGGGCATCCCACCACGGCTGGAGTGCCATTAAAGGAGTGTGACTGAGCTCTCCCTCTAGTGGCTGAAATTGAAATTTCCTTCCTTAGAGGATTGGGCTGGCTCAAATTCTTTTTCTCTTTTTGAGATAGGGTCTCCCTGTAGCCTCAGCTGGCCTGGAACTTGCTATGTAGACCGGGTTAGCCTGGATCTCACCGAGATCCTCTTGCCTCTGTCTTCCAAGTGCTGGGACTAAAGGTGTGTACCACCACACCCGTTTTTTTTTTTAAACTTAAAACATTTTTTTATTGAAATTTTGTTGGTTTTCATACAACGTAATTTGATATTTAGATCCCGTTCCCCACCCACACCTCCCCCCACTGCTCCACCCACCCAATTCAATGTACTCCACTATATATACAATATAACCTATAGAGTCTGATTTGTGTCCCCACAAGTACCTCAGCAGGGGTCCATCCACTGGAGCGTGGTCAACCTACCAAGAGTTCTGTGCCTGTAAGAGACTGTCCCTCTCCCTCCTGACTGGGATTTATTTCTTTTTTAAATATTTATTTATTTATATCTATTTTTTGTGTATGAGTGTTATGCCTGCATGTGTGTAAGTACACCCATGTTGTGCAGTGCCTTTGGAAAACAGAAGAGGGCGTCAGATCCCTTGGAACTGGAGTTACATACAGTTGTTAGCTGCCATATTGGTGCTGGGATTCTAACCTGGGTCCTCTGCAAGAGCAGCCCGTGCTCTTAACTGCTGAACAGTTTCTCCAGCCCCTGGCTGGGATTTCTTACTCTACTTTTGCAGATTCGTATTTAACTAAGATAGACTGAACATCTGTTCTCTGCCAAGCACCTTTGTGTGTATTACCTCCTAGAACCCTCACATGGATCATATGAAGTAGA